CTACCACCATCTTCAGACGATGTATCGGGCCATCCCCCTGGGCCCCCATCTGGAGAGGACCCGCATCGGAAATCGTGTTGGGTTTGGGCGCCAGGCAAAACCTCGGGCCTTTGCATGCCCGCCCAACGCGGGGCGCCCACGAGGCGCCCGCGGGCGGGCACGAGCATGACACCCAGGAAGCCAAACATATTAGGAGCCAGGAGCCCAGGAACCCAGGAACCCAGGAACCCAGGCACGCAGGAACGCAGGAACCCAGGTCAGTGGGGACGGGGGGAAGGAGAGGGCTTGGGATCCCAGTCGGCCCCACAAGGACAAGCCGAAAACGAAGAAGGACAAGACCTGGAAGCAGCTGCTCGAGGGCGACCACTCGCCCATGCGCAATTACGACGAGATCAAGGCTGACATGGAGAGCTTCTATGCAGCATATAAGGCACGATGGTGGTCGAACAAAGGAGGGGGTATATGTAGGTGTTGACACGGCCCCAAGGATTGGCAACATAACCAACGGGCGTTGATTATGTTGCCAATCTGGCAATACTCTCAACAATCCGATCTGGTAATACTTTCAACGTCAACTGCTCATCTAACCTTATCCCTCCCCTTCCCCATATCCGCCTCCACCCCCCCTGCTCGCTCCCCTCCAGTTCCGCCTCGCAGATCCCCTCCCCTCCCCTGCTCGACTACCCTCAATTCCTCTACCCTCGTCACCCGCCTCCCCTCGCCCACCCTGCCCATCACCCGCTGTCTTGTGTTCGTGTTCCTTCATTGCGGGCGGGGTCCAGCATTGCATCGCGCCAAGGTGTTCATCGATTTCCTGCTGAACCGCGCGAAGGCCGCCACCCCGGCCGCCAAGAAGCCCGATCTCGAGAAGGCCAAGAAGGCGCGCCCTCAAAACGACAACCTTAGAGGATGCCTTATCCGATGATGGCGGCGGCGGCACCCGTTGCCGCTTCGCGCTATGATTCGAATTGGCGTCCAGAGCCTGGGTTCCGCATCAGAGGTTTCCCTATCCACGGTCTCCACCGTGCCCTCTTGGGACCATGAGCTCGGGGGCTCCCAGGGCCCCGCGATTACGTTTTTTGTAGGTCCCACCAGCCCTCTGGGCGCAGGTAGTCTAGGGCATGTCGGTTGCCCGCCACTGTCCGTCCCCTGCGTGGGAGGTCTACCGCCCTCATGCGTTTGGACGGGGGCGGGGTTGGGGTGGGATGGTGGGCGGTGGTGTGTGGTGTGTGTGTGTGTGTGTGTGTGTGTGTGTGTGTGTGTGTGTGTGTGTGTGTGTGTGTGTGTGTGTGTGTGTGTGTGTGTGTGTGTGTGTGTGTGTGTGTGGGTGTGTGTGCGTGTGTGTGTGTGTGTGTGTGTGTGTGGGGGGGGGGGGGGGGGGGGGGCATATCAGCGTCTGAGATGGCCCAAGAGGGCCCCAACGCAATATGGCCCCCGATATGGCCCATGATAGTGGTAGATGGGCCAAGATAGCTTCCGACGCGAGTCCAAGAGGCTTCAAGACGCCCCCCAGACGGTTTCGGGTGCTCTCCGAGGCCTCCGAATACCCCTCCCCCCCCAATATGCCAACCTCTTTCAAACACCCATGGGCCGCCAATGGTGTTGCCTTCTCGCGCTTTGGCCTCCCATGGGTTCTTGGGGCTTCAAGATGGCCACACTACTGTTCAAGCGAGCCTCAAGCGGTGCCCAAACGGGCCCCAAGCTTGCCCCGAGAGCGCCTCGAGAGCGGGCCAAGGGGGCACAATGGTACACTGTTGAGCTTCCGATGGGGGGGTCGGAGTTACCCCGCCCCCTTTGTTGTGAAAATATTCACGACGGCCCCAGGGTGCCTCCCATGCCCCCCAAAGCGCCCCAAGGGGGGCCCACGACGCCCCGCAAGAGCCCCAAGGTGGCCCCAACAAGGCCCTAAGGGGACCTCAAGAGAGCCCCAAGAAATGGCTCCAGATGGGCCCCGCGATAACCCCAAGCGAACCCCAAGATGGCTCCAAATTTAGGAATGCACGCGAGCTTAAGATACAAATCAGTGCAGCAGCCATTACTAGTCACCGAACCGCCCCCCGCCCCTCATCGACACACCATCGTAGCTTGCACTGGTTTCCATCTTAAGCTTCAATGCGGGATGTTATGAGTGACCATTGGTTTCCCGAAGGCGGCTGCGCGCGCCCTGCCGCCCCTGATTCACCAACTCCCCTGCTGATCGGTTTTGTATGGGCTGGTGGGGATACGCGAAGCGTCAAGAATTACATGGCGTGCTTCAGAATCCATCCACCTTCGCAATTTCGACGCCGACTCTGGCCCACCTCGCCCCGCCCCCCCCCCCCCTCCTGGATCGCCCCCCCCCGATTCGCCGAAGGTGATCAAGGACGCCCGCAAGTGCAACGACGAGCTTGGCGACTACCAGACGGACCCCTCGCCGTCGATGGAGGGGATGCGGAAGGCGTGCACGTCCATGAAGGGGGTGTTTGCGAGCGGCAGGCAGCTCAAGATCCTCGACAACTGATTTCCCCCGTCTGTTTCGGATGGGGGTCGCGTCAGCCGAATCGTCGCCAGCTGACGTTTCAATTGTTTGTTGTTTTCACTTGTGCGCGCCCAAGTTTGATCGGGCGAGTGCTTTGTGGAGAGATGGCGGTTCGTCCCGCCAGCACGTGCGAACGGAGCGAGGCCCCCCAAGGTTTCCTGAACATGCGACACAGGCGCTGCCCGAGAACGAACGGCCCCGCGAGGCCGCCCAACGGCTCCCAGCCCCCAAGCGCTCAGAATAATTTCGGTCACCCCCAATGGCGCGAGAGTAGTCTCGCGTCGCGCTCTGCGGCCTGGGCCCGAGGGCTGCCCTGCTCCGCGGCGGCCCCGCGCGGGCGCGAAGATAATCGCGAAGGTAGGTGGCCCAGCTGACAGAGCAACACGCGCCCCCCCCCCCTTCCCCGCGATGCCCGCAGAGACCCCGAGGGGGAATTAAACAACGCCGATCGCTTTACACGTGCCGCCAAGATGGCATCGCCCCATGAGGTCGCCCACGGGCCCCCATCCCTCCGAGGCCCAATAGACTGGAAACAATTGCTTCCAAGCGGCCACCAGAGACCCCGAACGGGCTTCAAAAAGCTTTGAAACCTTTGCATGTGGCGTTCAGGGAGCCTCCTCGCTTTCCAACGTCCTTCTCTTTACCATCCCCCCTCTCTCCTTCCTCTCCACCGCCATTCCTCCCCCTTGCACCTTCCCCCCCTCCCCTCCCCCATCTCCCAATCCTTGCCTCGGGCCCGCACGGGTGGACCCATGTGCGTTTCGCAACCGTTGCTGGTCGCTCTAGGTGCCCGATGCCGTTTGGCCCAGGCATTTTGCCATGAGGCGATGCATCAAGAGGCGGCTAGAGCCCGACACACCGCCAGATTCCGACTCCAGCGAACGCGAGGACATAGATGAATTAGGCCGCCCGACATATGCAGCGTTATCGTCGATACTATTGAAAGATTGGGCATGGGGAAAATTGCCCGGCACGGACCTCCAAAAATATGCACGCGCGGCCCACGGGGACGGGGCCAGGGATCCTGAATTGGCTAGCATTGCGGCCATGGGCTCGCGGGGCTCGGCCCCGCAAAACATTCATCAGCAACTCACGACCAAATATCTGCGAGGGAACACGCTCCCCGAGCCCGAGACGTTCGATGTTCATTGTAAAGAGCCCAGGACTAATAAGATAGTGAAGGCCGAATGTAGCATGTTGCTTCCCCACGAGATGTTTGCATCTATGTTCCACTCCCATCGTGAAGTATTTAATGAGGTCTACGGTGTAGACCACTTGCCGAAATTCTGGGAAGGGGCATCTAAAGACGACCCGCGTTTGAAGAATCATCCAATATGGCACCTCAGCAATAACACCCGTGCCCACGCGATCCCCCTTCGTATACATGGCGACGGTGCAGAGATGCAGACGAACGATTCTCTCATGTGCATTTCGTGGACGAGTTTGCTCGCTGCGGGGTCGACTCGTTCGTTGAACATGTTTGTGACAGGGTGGCCATATTCAATACAGGCCAAACAAACACATGACGACAAGGATACATGGCTTGAAATTTGGGACGTCATAGCCTGGTCGCTTAATTCTCTCGCAAGTGGGAAATGCCCAACTACAGATTCACTGGCTTCGCCATGCCGCGCGCCCCTGGTCGGACGTGCGTCGCGGATATCAATGCCGCCGACCGAATGAGGAATGAGCAGGAGTTGCGAGGGAGGGGGCGGGGGGAGGGCGATAGAAGCGACGGGCGGTGGAGGGGGGCCATGGAAGGCGAGACACGGCGAGACAGCGCGACAACTCTCACAGCTCGGTGTCGACTCTGGTCGCGGCGGCGGATTGGAAGAACAGGCCTTTCGCAGAGGGTTCGCGCCATGCCGAGAGAGCTGGCCACTATTTGTGTTCAGCTGCGCTGCCATACAGAGGATTTATTTACGGCGTCCTAGGCTGTGGTTGCAATGAATACGCCACGTTGGTCCCCGTCTAAAATCGATTATGCGGCAAGTTTTGGGTTGCAGATTGTCTGTTCAATGTGCGGCTCTGGTGCAGCATTCCTCGGGTTCGGGGTCGAAGTGTATGTTTTGTTTGTGTGTGTCTGTGGAAGTGGCTATCGTTGCGACCAGTCGCCCCAGGGGACATGGAATTCTTTAGCTCGCACCTGGGGACCCCGTGGCCGAACGAATCGCAGATGTGCTGGCTCTGCGAAGCGAACAGAGATACGCTGCCATTTAACAATTTTATCAAGGAGCAATTCCCTCGGCACTGGATGCGGTTTCGACGGCGGGTGCCATCTGTTTTTACACATCATGTGTTCCGTGTGTGGGGCGGCACTGGCGAATCAATGTGTTTGGATTCAATGCGCACGGTGGATCAAGGAACGTGTTCGCATATATTAGGGAATATCCTGAAAGAGATCATATATGAACAACGGGACGAATCACCTGCAGAGGCGCGCGCTGTGATCTGGAGACGCATTCGAAAGATTTACGACGAACGGAACATTCCCCACGGGATCACTTACCCCTGCAGACGCGCGCCCGACAGACCCCTGGGCGAGGGGGGGGAGGGTGAGGAGGGCGGAGGGGAAGGGAAAAGGGGGGAAATGTATGAGGCACTCAGGAAAAGGGTGAGAGGATAGGTAACAGGAGGCGGTCAACTCAAGGATGGGGAAGGGGATGGAAAAATGGGTGGGGAAAAGGGAAGACAACAAGAAAAGGAACGCTGATGATGGGGGAGAAGGGAGCACGGAACGGGGAAGAAGAAACGCCGCGTGCCCGACAGCTAGGGTGCCCCTGGCGGGCGGACATTTTGGGTTGGGCAGTTTCATTGCGAATCTGAAAAGTCCACATAGCCAGTGCCCCGTTTTAAAGAAAGCAATCAAAGCAGCGCAACAGCGCTGGCTGGCTCCCGTGATATGTCAACTGAGCAAGGATTATGAAGACGGTTCTGATCTTAGAAGAATGCGAACCCTTTGTTGCGAATCGTTATGCACATACTACGATTGCTGAGATTCATCTGGAATGTTTTTGGACGCGGCCGTTGCACAAAAGTTGCAAGATGCCGTCGAAACATCGCTCATCATGTATCATGCCCTCGCGTCGCATTCGATGACAGATGAACATAGGAAAAAATGGTCCATAGTTAACAAACACCACATGTGGTGGCACATTGCAGAAGCCGCCACGTATTTGAACCCGAGGTGGCTTTGGTGCTACATGGCAGAAGATTTCATGCGACACGTAGTAAAAATAGCAGGGACGGTGCAAATTGGCTCATCGCCCTTGCAGTGCAGCCGCAAACTGTGCGAACGCTGGAGGATTGGAAGGTAGATCAGTGGCTCCGCCAGTTGCCGCCGCGGCACTCGGGTGGGGAACAAGTCAGCAGGGCGATGGGGCGGGGGCGGGGAGTGGGGCGGGGGGGGGTAGGAACAGGGCGCGCGAGGGGGAGGGGTCAAGGGCGGGGACGGGGAGCGACGGCAGAAGGAACGGGACGGCGGAGAGAGGATGAGGTTGGAGGAGATGCCGAAAGCGAAGAGGATACCGAAAACGAGAAAGCTCAGATTTTGCAAACCTGTCCCTCCGCTCGCGGGGGGGATGGACTTCGAGATTTCACGCCCTTCTTTCTAGGTGTTCTGTGGGAGTGCCCACGCAGGTGAATGTTTAACGTTCGGGGCAGAGACCCGAACCTCGTGGAGAGAAGACTGTCGGCCTCGCAATCTTATTGCCACCGCCCACCCCCCCACGCCTACTCCCGCCCCCGCCATGGCCTTCCCTGGCCGAGGGGAGCCCTCGCATGTTTCGTGCCCCTCAGGAAGATGCGCGCATTATGGTTGTCCCGAAACATAAGAAACACGGAAACATGCGCAAGAGAAAATTCATGACAACAAGTGGAAACTACATTTAAGACACATACGACACACGCAATGCAAGCGCAAACATATCAACCCTACAAACGCAATGCAAAAGTAAGACACACGTAAAAACACACACACACAACAAACGTAAGACAAACGTGTGTCTTACGTTTGTCTTACGTTTGTCTTACGTTTGTCTTACGGTTATCGTTGCATTTAGTTGCTACCCATTTTTCGCTACCCATTTTTGCGGGGCAAACACTAGCGCGCGCGATTGTTGATCGCGACCCATTTTGCGTTTCCCGCATCATGATTGCGCTACCCATATTGACGCATGATAAAACCGGTCGCGCTACCCATTTTGCTCTCGTTCCGGTCCGCTACCCATTCTCACGCGCGCATCAATCCGCTACCCAAAAAGATCGGTCGCGCAGCATCTGGGTTCGGCGCTGGCTCCGAAACCACTGGCTGTCCGCGGGTGGGGCGGCCACCGTAACTTCTGCACCCTCTGCCGCGGCCGTCTCTGCAGCCGCTTGGAGGGCAGCTGCGCTGGCGGGCCTCGAGGTGGCCACTGGCGCGGCCCTGGGCGTCGCGCTTGTCCTCCGCGGGCAGGACCACGAACCGCTTCTCCGTCCACGCAGCGCCCCCGCCAAAGGTGAGCCAGCCGATTCTGCAAGCACGCGCTGCCAGAATGCATCCAGCGACGTGAAAATCGCGCGCGCGGCCACCCCGGGGAGTCTGACTGGCAATCGCCGGTGCCGACTCCAGGAGGTCCACGCCAAGAACCCGCATCGCATAACCAGCGCGGTCAATGGAAACATCGAAGTAGCTCAGCTACACGTTGACCCTGTTTTCAGAACCAGAACGGCTCAATGGAGCCCACGCCAGCTGCGCAGAGGAACCCGGCGGCGGACTACCATTGCCCATGCCGGCATCGTAATCAGTCAACCAATGTTCTTCCACTGGCGAAATCTGAAGGCTGTCCCACCTGAGTAGAACCTCGTCCCCCGTGAGCGGCGCCCGGACTCCGTGGCGCTGCGAGGCCTCCACATAGCCAGGGACTGTGCCACAGAGACCATTGAGGGAACAGCCCCTCGCCGACGTCAGACCCGCAAAAGTGGCCTGCGCCCCCAATCGCCAG